GATAGGGAGTAAAGTAGTCAAACGTGTCGACAACTTCGCTTATCTTGGAAGTCTGAACAGCCCTAATCGGCTGGTATCGGACGAAATCTCAGCACGGATTCGAAAAGCTCGCTTGGCTTTTGCCAACTTATGTCACCTATGGCGAAGGCGAGATATCCGTATATCAATAAAAGGACGAGTATAGTGCGCGGCAGTCCGTTCTGTTTTAATTTACGGCAGCGAAACATGGCCATTTAGAGTAGAAGACACTCGTAAGCTACTAGTACTTGACCACAGGTGCCTTAGAAATATTGCTGGCGTCTGCTGGGATCACCGACTAAGTGATAGTGGGATTAGACGCAGATTATTAGGAAATGATGGTAAATCAGTTGATGAGGTTATGAATCTTCATCGACTGAGATGGTTGGGCCACGTGTTACATATGTCCGAACACCGATTACCACGACGTGCAATGCTAACCGGTGTTGGAGATGGTTGGAAGTTAGGGACGACCAAACCAAAACGTGGCATCAGTGCTTGAAGTCACTAACTTCTAGTCTTAGTCATGTTGGTAGATGCAGACTACTTGGTGGGGGTCTGCGTCACTATCGTAACCAATGGTTGGAGACTCTTGGTGACATGGCTCAGAATCGATCACAATGGCGTCGGTGTATACACTCCCTGTCTTCCCTTAAACTAAGAGATTAAAATCGCTTCATACCTTTCTTTCTACGAACCAATTTTTTCTTCTTGTACTATATCTCTATATGCAATCTTTCTCTTATATATTACCACCTTTGACCTAACCACTGCTATGAATCCGGTGTTCATCTTGTTGTGCTGATGCGGTATGGCAACCTGGACCGATGCACATATGTGCCTGGTCCTACGTTGTAGCTGACTGACTGACTGTACTTCATTAAATACTAGTTTCATTTATATAGTCCTATGTGTCGGAAAAACAGTTGGTAAATTTATTTATTTCATCTTTTATTCCTAACCACTTTAAAACTGCTTTTATTTTACTGCTTTTCTATTTCACAATACTCGTAGAAAAAGTGGTGAATGGACGATCATATTTCAGCACTTTATTCCGGCAAATACAAATGGCACTTTTCATATATAATACACATAATTGATTAATCTAATTTGCAGCTAGTAACTTTGATGTATCTTTTGTAAAAGATCAATTCATTATTCAATCTAAATAAGAGATTCAACATTTTTGCTAAATCATATCTCGTTATTATGAATGTCTGTTCTTTTGACTACAAAATTAATTCATGAATTAAAATCGTTCACGTCTACTCATTTAGTATAAAATAACCATAGCTAAAATATCATATTTAACATTCAATGGTTGAATAATCTAAGTAGTGAAGTTTGAACTTACTGTTAGAGAAACCCAGAGGCATTCTGAGAGTTAAGTATTAAATACAAGAATGTCGTTTTTTAGCAGATGATTCTACTGGATGTTTTACAATTTCCATTCATCAACTAATTCATTTTAATAAGCAAATTACATTCGTGTAGTAGTTGTGGACTAAACTTGTTATATCATAACAGATACTATTTGATAAGCCAAACTGAAGTAAATGGAATAATATTTTATTCTTTAACTCGATAGTTGAAAGTTAGCCACAAAATCGTACATGTGTTGTTAAAAAGAGTGGCAACTTAAATCCTGTCAGGTTTTACGCTTTTTAAATTGATCAGTCTGCTTTCATACTACCTGCATAAAATCATACATAGGTTATTTTTCACAACCGTATGACTAGCTAAACAATATCACCTTTATGTGATATGACGTGTCTATTCTTAATTCCTGAATAAAATCATGGCAGTAAATATAATATGTATTTGCTTCATGTTTATTTAATTCTAACTATTTGTTTCATGAAATAAATCAACTTACTGTCGTTACCAAAACCATCTTACTACTACGGACACTAATATAAAAGTAGCGAGATATTCTGTAGATAAACTACCGAAATGAAACTAGTAGCAAATATATATGGTTCGTATAGTACGAAAGTTCTGGGGTGTAAATGCAATTGTGGTAAGAAAAATGACCACCCTGATTGTATATCTATCGTACATACTGGTCCTTGTTTATTTTCTGTCGTTCATCTTGTTCGATATTGTTCACCAAGACACCTCAATAATCTATAAAATCTTGAAAAAATTATTTCGAACACCGCATGGTGCTTTTCATACATAAGACAGTGTACACATCTGGTTTTGTATATAGCAATCAAGTTTTGGCATCTCTTTCCTACGCTTCCACTCCACATATATTCTATACATATACCCACACTTGCATATATGTTGAAGTGTACAAATTTTGTGTGTATGTACATTGTGCACTTACTGGTCAGTACTTATTGTATCCGTCACTTGTGTTTATATATACACATTTGCTCTTTTTCAGGTTATACAGACAAATACAAAACAATAAATACTAATTTTTACACCAGATGCATCCAATGATCGTAATCTGGGTCACATTAGAAGCTTTTTAGTCTCTTGTCGCTTTCTTCAGTAAATTAGTTGTAAAGATGTTAACCTAGTACAAACATGTACTTCCAAAGCAGGTAAACGGTTATAGTCTTCTAGTACTAATGAGTATCAGGAGTTTGTTAGTAAAGCAAGCAATAATCTTTTTATCACGGCATATGAATAGAATGACGAGCCTCATAGCCTCGAATCTATCGATTGGTAAATGAACCACAAAATTGAAATGCTTTAATCTTTTTCCCTTTAAGCAAGTTTCAATCAGGTTTATTTTTGCGTGTAGTGTTTTGTACACAAGCGTATAATTTTGCTTCATAAGATGACTCAATTTGTTGAACATTAATTCTGTTTTCTGTAGCCTGTTCACTGTAAGCACTAGATCAATGATCTGTTTGTTGTGACTAATTATCTCTCTTCTACATAATCATACAATGTTCCTCCGCCTAAGCAATTATATATGAAGGATGATATGTTAACAAAGTAATATTTACATGTACATACTTGAACAATTACTGAAATTCGTATCGTTATCTAGAAACGGGTAAAAGTAAATGTGGACTGATCAGCCGGAGAACCACTGAAAACCATGGAGTACCGAATAGCTGTTTCATCCTGTTTTGGGGCTCCGATGGTTCGCGCCTATGATTCAATGAGATGGAACTCGGGACTTGGTTATCTTACTGGAGTCACAATATCCGTAGAACTCTGGGTTAGAATCCAATAGTCCACATATCTATTCTCACTTACTTTGCAGTATAGCGTGTTAATCATTGAACCCCATCGGTAGTGAATGTTTTACTTTTTAAGTGATTGGATTTTACTATTCACTGAGAATGTATGTCGAGGCTAAACACTAGTGAACACAAATTCTTGTGTTATTTATCAAATTACATTTGACTATGACTGTCTCTGTTAAATATAAGAACGACAACTAAGTTTAAATTCACCCAAAACTAAGTTATTTGCGTTATATGTTGTTTCTGTCCTATTGAGGCAGTTCTTGCTAACGGGATACATAAGCATTATTCAGTGGGTAACAACTAAGTAATTTTTTACCAGACCAATACACTTATTTCTACCTATTTTTCGTATTTTCAATATAAGATTTGAAAGCATCAGTTTTTATCTTTGTTAACACTTCACTAGTATCTTTCGTGTTGTATGTTTTGATATGTCTAACAAACAACATTCAGATCATCCAATATGTTACTAGTCTAACTTTAGTTTGGTGTAGACCGTCTATTATAGCAACTTATCGGTCATACGCATTTTTAAACATGATTTCCACTATAGCGCTTGGCCAGATCAGATAAATTGAGAAAAAGGTAGAATGCATAGAAAGCCTTATTTTTTGGATTATAAAATCAACAGCTCATGGATATCAAACATTCTATGTAGCATACATGTAGATGGTAATCTGTGGCTAAGGAAAGTATGCCTATATTTGATGCACTTTGCTCTCATATTTAGTTTCCAATCTAAATAACGTTGTATGACTTGACATAATTCACTGAATTTAATTAATATGTTTCGAGGTGAACTTTATCTTTTCATCCGAGAACAACCACAATTGAGTATCTTTATCTCATTATAAAATCTCAATACATGAAATGCGAATCAATTTTTCAGATTCAGTGTGTATTATGATGATATCTCAAATGAAAGTTATTTAGAAGTGTTACACAACTGTTCTCCATTATCGTAACTCATGAGGGACTGTGGTTAAAAAACCCAACTTTCAATCCTACTTCTTATCAATAAGAGGATCCAAATAGTATTATTACCTCTTTTTCAAAATTTTTTTCAAAGTTAAATGCCATTAACTTCTACTTAACTACTGGACTACGTTTACATATTTTTTCACTTTCTAAAGTTCATTTTTTTTGTTTTGTTGAACTTTGTATTGAAATATGACACTATGCACAATGACCTGATACAAGTTCATACTGTACAATTACATTAGTACAAGACTTTTCTGTAGACAATATTAAAATATATCATCAATAATTTAATAATGTTTATAAAGATCACTATGTACATATTAATTAATTAATATATATACTACAACAGTGATAAGAGTTCACCATCATTTCTATCTGGATTATCTAAACCATCTACTCAATCAGGACTAATTAACAACATTATGTATCATGCTTCTTCCGTTCTAATCACTCTATCATTAGGAATTTCTAATTTATACTTATTTATTTCGATCAATGAATAATCAGCATTAATTGATTATTGTGTGAATCTCTGTCAATACTAAATTAACATGTCGTATATTTACTTATTCCTTAGTTCGTTTTATTTCTTTTCAATTTTTTGTCGTTGTCTTTACAGAAATATCTGAGTTTGTCAACTAGCATGTATTTCAAATTATTATTTAAGAGTAATTGAAAAAATTTGTCCTCGTCATTGATAACCACTTTTATGTCATTTTTATTTTTATGACTGTTACTACTGTTTCTTCATTATAATAGATTTTTTCATATTTCATTATATTGTAGGTGGTCATAAATCAGAGGAATATCTTAATTCTTTATCTGGAGTAACTGGTAATGAATTAAATCATGATAATTCCATTAACATCGATTCAATTTCCGCAACTAACACCAATATTAATGCTCAGAATGATGTCAAATCCTTATCAGTCATCAGATCTACTGGTTTCGGAAATTACATTGTAAGTGTTTCAACTCATCTCAATCGATATTATTATTTGGTTGATAGTATCATATATCAATGAGGTTCGTCTAGATTGATCGGAACAACGGTCCACTTTTTTTAATCATGTCAACCAACGTGTGTCTCAATTAGCGCAGTAAGGATTGATGGGAATGTTTTCTAACTACTCATATATTGATCAGTAGTATCTGCTGTGCATTGGTGCAATTTCTGTTTGTAGATCACCTAAGCCAACCATAATAATTCCTAATTGAACGTAGATGCATTTCGTATTCCTTTTTTTAATTGTGATTTCACTTAAGTGTTCTGTAATACATTCTTTTGAAACGCATGTATTCTTCAGTATACTATGGAAAACTAATAATGTTTTCATTACATTTCTTAATACAATACCTAAATTCCAATTTAAGAAAACACTTTAAATTACTGTTTTGATTCAGACACAGCTCCTTGATCTAAAAATTTATAGTTTATTTTAAAGGAAGTGAAACAAGCTTAGTGAGATTCATTAAACATTTCCCGTTGCTACTACACATGACGTAAAATATTTATATTCGTATATCATTAGATCCTAAATGTATGAGGTATAAATATCATATTTATTTTTTAAAACATATTTACATTGGTTCAATGATTGAAGTCGCAGGACAATTGAGATTACAACAGGATTTGAACCATTAGCTTGCTTGATTATTATATTCTGTATTTAAATTTTTTCCAGTCAAAATGTACTTCTGATAGCAGAATATGTCCTCATAGTTGTCGATTATACATAGGTAGCTTCACATTATTCACCTTAGTTGGTATAATTTCATAACCATATTGGCTAACTCACTCTCCTTACGCAAAACCTTCCTTCTAACCCCGATATTAATTGTTTAGTTAGTTTAACATCTTTTAATAATACTGTGTAGGGGGAACATACACTATCTACCCATAACCAACTTTAACAGCAATTCTATAGTACACTTTCTCCTTAGTAGAAAACTTCATCATTCTTAGGGTCCGTAAGTGAAATAGGTTTCTGACAAGTGCTAATATAATTTCTGTATCCCTCCTGAGCATTAATTAGCGGTCAAGTTATCAGCTGCTCTACAACTTCATAAAAAACTTACGTGGTCTGCACATTCACTTCTATTCTTAAGCAAGCTAGTCTGGAAGTATTATCATGCAAAAAAACACTAAGGACTTTTAAGCTTCAGCTTATGGTATCAAAAAGACCCTACATCTTTACATTGGCGAAAACTAATGTCACAGTGTCTTTCAGATAATCAAGATCAATCCAAAGATCTTTAGATAAAGATTAAAACATAAAAAAAGTTTGAACTCAATAGAATTGCCCCCATAGTTGTCAAAAGTAAACAATTTTAACTCTAAACAATCATATATTGCAACACTTAATCTAATCATTTCAGAGTAAAACTATTCATAAACTCACATAACTTGTAGATCAATTTTCTTTTATTGATTCACTTATCTCTGAGATCAGAATGGTTGCTACAGTAAACTATCAAGAAATTCGCCACATAACGTGGACTCTCATGAAACTGCTAGGCTATACATAATTTATTATTGATTAATAATTCTTATTAGTTTAAGAAAACCTTTTTACATTACTAGCACTGCTATTACACATACACTATTATTCTATCTAAAAAACCCAATAAATCCAAAATATGTACCTGTTCATCAATGTAAAATTCTATATTTAAATGTTAAGCATGCATAGTATAACTAACGAAAGTATGCATTCACTCTCAGTTACGCCATCCGCGTGATGTTCTGTTGAATTTGTTCGATATACTGTAACATGTTATCAATTCTCCACAAACTGTCGTACAAAAGTTGTTGAGTTTATTGTGTTTTTTCCAATCATTATTTCATAATCATATAATGAACATTTAAAATAGCTCATTTATATTGATCACTATGTTAAAAAGTATCTCATTAAGGAAAAAATTGCGATTTCACATGAGGGTCGTGCTATTTCATACACTATAATATTACACGTTTGTAATTAACTGTTATGTGTTTATGAAGTGTATTTATTTATTTTTTAAGCTCTAATATTTCTGTTTCTGAACTCGATACTTAAGAATATAAATAAAAGCCTCAATTATGCTATTGAAGATAGTAATAAATTTCTTATTTAAATGTTTCTAGTGTTCAGTGTTCGTACTTTCAAATATTGTATGACAAAGTCATTCAACTTGCAAAATGTTACATCATTTGCAACTAATGTTATTGAATATCCCTCAAAACTTAATACAGATTACCGTATTTGATTTAATAAGTTTCATTACATAGTTTTACAAGTAAGTTTAAATTATAAATGTAGGAAATGTGAATTGGTCTTCTGTAACTTTTAACTAAGCTTTTTCTCAGACTTCCAATCATTCAATTTTAAAAACGTATTGGTTTGTAAAATTTGTTTCTGGTCCTTCATTTTCACATACGTGTTTATTGCTCTTATTTTTAGTCGTGTGAATATATCCCTTATTATTTAAATGTTACTTTATCTTATTACAACTTACAACTAAGTCTCTCAATCTTTATTCTTCCCTATCCCTACTCGAGGAATTTTCTTAAAAGAAAGAGGAACTCTAATCTCTTATACAATCTATTTAATATAACAATACCGGTAAATTTATGTGCTGTTTTGCGAAACTACACATTACGAAATAAATAGTCGTTAATGCTATCTACCTCATACTTATAGGTCAAATAGTGCAAGTATTAACCGTTTTTGAATCATCGATCTAGATGTTATTACATAAAAGAACTAGTACGGTTCCTTAACTTCAAATATCATGACACCGTGGTGTTGTGAATTCATCAGCATAAATGACTATAGCAATTACATTGATTATCACTTAGGTGATTCAATTTTGTACAGATGTTAATTGTATGTTGTTTAAAAAAGTAAGTAGTATTACCTCTATTTGTAGTGCTGTAAATGTGAGTCATAATATTCCGAGAGAGTTCAAATTCAACCTCTCCCCTCCTAGATTACAGATGCTCTAATGATAATATTTACAAGCCTAAAAATAACCGTATCTGTAGTTAGGTTTGAATTTCTCTTCTAACTGTTGCCGCTTATAAAATTGATAATAATAATAATTAGTGTTCGTAACACTTATTTAAAATCTTAAGTGACGTAACAAACATGTAATCGTGTTGTTTTTCATAATCAATTTATTCCTCTTTACAATTGATTGATCACTGGGTGGTGATCAATTTCATGTATGTCAGATCCTTCTTAGTGCAGATCGAATTCTACTGACCATGACATTGATCATCACCCAGTGATCAATAAATTGTAAATAAATCGCAGTCAGTCAGTTGCTGCCCGGATAGCTCAGTGTTAACGTTTCTGACTGTGAAGCTGGGTGACACGGGATCGGATCCGTTAGGGAGCATCAGCTACCTCGAGATTACAGGTACACCTTACTGACGAGTGCCAATTAGCACGAAACCTAGGTCCAGGGTTTCCTGTTGACTATCTCCAACCACCATCTTATTTAAATTTATTCCTCACTAATATTTCCTAAGGAGTTCAAGAGATTTTCAAGATATGTCCCGGCTGAATGATCTTTGATAGTTGATCTTTATCGGTAAAATTTAAATTCAAATGCTTTATCAATTTACAATTTTCAATTATAACAATCTGTAAATCGTTTTTTATGCAAGGATAACTGCACTTCAGATCTTTTTAGAAACGGATCAAAATTCAATTAAACGATGTTAATTAACAAAAAAAATTAATCTTTTCTGTCGTTATGTACTACAAAAGTCTACATTAAACGATTACTCATCAGTTTTCTTCTATCATTTGAGAAATAATATAGATTTTGTTCATTTTTGTATTGGTTGTTTGAATCTTCCCACTGATGTTTAGGACTGCAATTGATCAGTCTCGCATTGGCATATGTTCAACTTGTGCGAATTGCCTCGATATTGTCTTAAGTCACAAATATTATAAGTAGAGATGGATGGTGGCTAGCATTGGAATCTAGGATGCGCGTTTGGTTCTACCTGCATCTGAGAACTCATGTTAACTCAGGAACTCGAACCCAGTGCCATTCGCTTTTAAACGCCATCATGTTATTCACTTAATTTCCGAGTTCAGATAGCCACTAGCTCGTGCAACCTTGTTTTTGGTTTTAAGTAATTTCTAAATAATATTAACCACATTACAACAACAACCTGTGAACAAATGTCAATTTGTTATTTTCAAACCTGTTTCATTTTTCTTTTCAAATCAATTGAAACTTTTATTCTGATTCTTCTCTTTAAGGCGTGTACATAATTGTTCCTAAAATAAGTATATTCATTTCTCTACCCATTTATGAACAAGCACTCGCAAATGTGTTTTATGTATAATTAACTCTGTTATTCCTCTTCCATCATATAATTATTGGAACATAATTAGATCTATTTTTAATTAATAGTTTTGACAATATATATACATACAAACCATTTTAGTTAAATAGAATAAAATTTTCTATCTTATTGCTTCGGGGCTTAGGTTTTCGTCAAGATGAATACTACAGATATCGAAAATATTTAACGAATCAATGGTAACGTATTAGGGAATGTGTTATATCTAGAATTGATTGACTGAAAGAATGAGAAAAGTAAGCATTTATTTGTGAACTTGTTTGTTTAAACACTTGACCGTGATCGGTTGTTTCGTAGTTTCAGTACCTGACCGAACTACTTCAGTTTCGACAGCCGAACTGATTTATTTGTAACCATGATCTAACAACATTATGATTTATATTTTTGTAAGTAAACTTGTTCCTTCCATACTTAATGATGAAAGGAATCATAATGATCACTTATTATCATTTACCTAATAAGGCCAGTCGATAGTTGAACAGTATTCAAATTTATTGGGGTTTATTTTTTATTATCATGTTTGTTAAAGTATTCTGATACACACATGCTGTGATCTAATCACCAACTGAAGCTGAACTCACATAAACTTTTACAGTT